GGACCACCCTTGACCCGCACTGGCCACCTCGTCTCAGTTGGTTTCCTGGAAACAGCTGACTTCATCTGCATAGCAAGGGGAAAGCATCGTAACCCGGTGTTAATGCTATCAGCCTCCCAATAGTCTTTGCCATATCTCTTAGGGACCACCTGTGTTTTAAACTGAAGTTATCTGAGCTAGGATTTTTTCCCATTTGTCTCGGGGAACACCCAAGGTCATATCCATAGTGTTCAGCATGAAACCCAAAAATAGGGTATTCTGAGTAGGAACTAGTATCGGATTTTGCAGATTTACAATAAACCTCAGATCCTGCAATAAGGAAGGTGATCAGGGCTTCCGCGAGCTGCAAGTCTGTCCTGATCACCTGATTGGCTAAAACGCTGTTGCTATGCAGGAGCACAGTATGAGCGTTTTTTTTTTTTTAGTGCAGCAAAATATTTCTCTGAGAGGTTGCCACATACCCACTAGCTTTGCTAGGGGGTTATGCCTTCTGGAGGGACAAAGTGAGGGCTAGGAAGAGAGAGAAATATTTTTACAGAGACATATACTGTGTGGGTTTCTATGAATTCTATGTATTGCAGCTCTGTGCAATCCATCACAATGATCCTGGCTGTGTGGGATAGTTATGAGTATCTCCTTGTTGTGTCCAGCTCTGTGTTTTATTTCTCTGTATATTACTCAGCTCCACCTGTTGTGTGGATATCTCTGTAGTCTACCCCGCTCTGCGTATTGTATTGGTATCTTTGTATTGTGCCCAGCTGTGTGTTGTTTTTTTTTTTCCTCAGCCCTGTTTGTGGTGTGGTTCTATCTATATTGTAATCCGCTCTATGTATTTTATAGATATTTTATGTTTTGCCCAGATTGTTTTATTGTGTGAGTATCTTCATATTATGCTCAGCTCTCTATAATGTATGAGTATCTCTGTACTGTATAGGGAAGAGTATGGTACCCCACTATCTTAAAACTACACCAGTGTCAACTGATCAGTACTGCAGATGTTGTGGCCTATATTTCCCATGACCACAATAGTTGTTTTGCCCTCAGTCATTACTATTACCACTGTGTAGAAAATACCAATCAATTAGCAGACAAAGATGTTTGTTACAAACTGTGTAAAAGAAAGAAATCCAGGGGTAGGGATAGTGTAACTTAATTGCTTAATGCCCTCTAGAAAGATGTTAAAGGATCATTTGTTTCAGTAAAAAAAACAAACAAGAAAAAAAAAACTTCTAGTGTCCATGAGCCTGAGAACTTATTAACTACACTAACGTCTACTTAATTATCCACTTGTCCCCAGGAAATGGACATTGATGACGTTGCTGTATTTTGCCCATGTTATAGTTCCAGTTTTGCATCAACAAATAATAAATAAATACCGTAAGCGGGATTAGTCATTTAAAGGAACACTATAGTTTTGGCAATACAAAACTTTACTCCTAATACTATAATGACCCCCGGTGAATAAAGGTTTAAAAAAACATGTGATTCCAGCACCGAGGTCCCTTGGCACTGCATTGCTCTCTGCCTTATCTGAAGTTATCAATGGGGGGAAAAGGGGGAACCTAATGCATATGCGTGGCAAGCGCTACAAACACAATAGCTCTTCCCAACAGGCCTTCCTATGTGCATTTTCAAGACACTGGACATCCTCATTCAAAACATGAGGACATCAGCTGCATTTCACAGAGTTAAACTCTGTGAAATGCCAGAAATGGAATCTAGTGGCTGTTTAGGAGACAGCCACAAGAGGCAGTCTTGACCCTGCAATGTAACCATTACAATTTTTCTAAAATAGTAATGTTTTACATTAAAGGATGAAGTGCAGGGTGAAGAGATTGTGTGGTCTGGGTGCCTTTACTGTCCCTTTAAGTATTCAGTTGTTCTCTTTCCTTTTAATATTTAGCTGGATTCCAGGTAGCATCCCAGAATATAGACTAAAACCTGCAGAACAAATGTCAATTCAATACTCATCACAAAGAACCTTGGCACTATCACCGTTTTGACACATGGACTGTCCTGTTTCAACATTTTGGTCTCATCAGAATGGAGTTGGTTCTAGTCTAGGAGTTGAAATCTTCCTGTCAGTATATAGCTAAATATTAAATAATCTGTGGGGTGTATGATTTGTGCAAATAGTAATTGTATATATCAAGAAAATACAACAAAATTACTTACTTGAACTGTCATGATATATAGAGATGGGATCATTGTAGTGTAAAGGATGGACTTGCTTGAACAAAGTCTTCTTCACTTATTTTCTTTTCATAAGATCTATACATTCTATAGACTGTAAGCTCATTTTAGCAGAGTTTTCTTCAACCTATCGTTCCTGTAAGTCTTGTAATTGTCCTATTTATAGTTACATCCCCTCATAATATTGTAAAGCACTACGGAATCTGTTGGCGATATAAATGGCAATAATAATAATAATATATATTTAAAATACAGCAGATGTCAGGCTTTCTATAAGAAGGAAGTAAGCACCAGCTCCCTCTAGTGGAGAAAGAACACGTAAAAATAAAATGCTGTTAATCAGAAGCAATGATGACGCTATCTAATTAAACAAACGATTGTGGATAGTATTTGTATTTCCTTGAGTAGAAGAAGAACCATTAGCTGCAATTGCAGAACGTAGGTTTTCTGGGGTACGTCTGTCTTTTTTCTTCCATTGTATTTAGTGACATTTTGAGAAGGTATTTGATAGCATCCTAGACCCGTAAACTCCATCTCCTGACCCAATCTGATTTGCCCACCTAGCCCCATGTACCCAATCATAAGAGGGTGGGAAAGTGTGAGAAACCGGATGGACAGGAGTAAAAGACAGGAAGAGAAGGAAAATGAGAGGGAAAGGGATAAAAATAGACAGAAATGTGAGAGAGAGGGAGGGGGGGAAAGTCTGAGACGAGAGCGAGAAAGAGGATGTGAAAGAGAGCGAAAAGGAAGTTACAGGAAAAGAGAGGGAGTGAAAGCGGAAGTTAAAAAGAATATGATAGAAAAAGAGAACAGGATAGTGAACCGGAAAGAGAGCACATGAATGAGTGATAAAGAGAGAGGGTCATATGTATCTGACACGTGCAAGGATCTAGTTTCATAAACAGCATTTTTTAATTTTTTTTATTTATTTTTGCTTAAAGGGACACTATAGTCACCTGAACAACTTCAGCTTAATGAGGTTATTCAGGTGAGAACTATAGCTCCCTGCAGCCTTTCTCATGTAAACACTGTATTTTATGAAAATATACAGTGTTTACATTGAAAGCTAGGAACACCTCCAGTTGCAGTCACTCAGCACCTCCATCCACTCAGATCTGCTGTCAGCAGAGCACAGGGCAGCACTGTACACAGCATCCTGTGATTCAGTGTCTCCTCCCTCTGCATGCAGACACTGAACTTTCCTCATAGAGATTCATTGATTCAATTCATCTCTATGAGGAGATGCTGATTGGCCAGGGCTGTGTTTGAATCATGCTGGCTCTGCCCCTGATTTGCCTCTTTGTCAGTCTCAGCCAATCCTATGGGGAAGCACTGTGACTGGATCAGGCTACCACATGTCAGCAGACTGCTTGTTTTTCTGAGTCTAACAGCATGCACATTTACAGCTTCAGGCTTGAATACAGTAAGATTTGTACTATATTTATGGAGGCATGAGGGGCTTAGGGGGTCAAGATGGTGGTTTTAACACTATAGGGTCAGGAATACATGTTTGTGTTCCTGACCCTATAGTGATCCTTTAATTTGCAGTGAAATCTCCCATTACTATCCTATTTGTGCATGATGCTTGCAGTACATTGGGGATATTATGTTCTTTTAGCAAGGCAAGCATCTTTCACATGTAAGATTTTCAGTCCAGTCCTACCACCTGCAGTCTGATTTTAATTAAAAATGCTGAATAAATTGCTCAAATTCAAGACACAAGATGCTTACATACTCAAACCAGGGTCTGTGTGTTGGTTCATGGTAAGGCACAGTAAGCCTGGTCAGCAAAATGTATGGAAAGCCTTCCATCCTAGCTGGGCAGTAATACTGTACATAGAATGCACCTGAATCAATCTGATTCTATCCCCTGGTGTTATCTGCCCTATACACAAGCCTATCTTTAAGGGTACACATTACTTGACGTCTCAATAAGTTAGGGGACTACAAAACAGCAATTGTTCTAGAGATTGCTACAAGCCACTTTTTATACATCACAGTTTTCTAATAAGATAGTGTCATGGTTTTCACTGTGCCATCCAGACAGCCAAGCATGGTTGCCCCACAGGTACCAGACAGTGGATTTGAACCTAGGTCCTTCTGCATCCTAAGCCTGCATTTCTGCCTCTGAGCCACTTCAGTATTTGTGAATCCAGCCTTGTTTATCTGGTACTGCCTAAAGTAGTAGGGGGCCTGGCCTTCATCAGTGGCTTCTACCTCTCAATCTAAGTCTACCTGAGGGCGATGGATCATCATTGAAAAGATCAAATGTGACTAAACCCTCTGGTATTTATTAGCTGCACTGGGTTTTAGTATTTGCATTTTATTGGATTTTTAGTGCCACCTCTCTCTTCTTCTATTTTTTTTATCTACTCTCTTATTACTTCTTACTTACTTCTCTCTGTTAGCCTTTACTGCATTAACTGGAAGGCTATTACGGGTATCTCCTACCTTTCCTATATCATAGCCTGCTAATATTACAGGTATCTACTCTTATATCACTGTTAGCCTTTACTGCAATCACTGGAAGACTGTTACGGGTATCTCCTACCTTTCCTATATCATGGCATGTTAATATTCCAGGTATCTACTCTTATATCACTGTTAGCCTTTACTGCAATCACTGGAAGACTGTTACGGGTATCTCCTACCTTTCCTATATCATGGCCTGTTAATATTCCAGGTATCGAGGGGGCGTGGCTAACCGCCGAGAGGAATGGACGTGTAACCCGTTCACTCCGGCAACACGGGTCGCAATCCGACTCCATCGAACGCAACACGGCGGCACAACTGCTTAAAAAACGAAGATGGCACAGCAGAGAGGCAAGAAGTCTGCACACAAAGCGGAAAAAATCAATTTCTTTGGACACAAGTCGCACCAGGAACCGGAGGAGGCTCGGGCCTGGTCGCAAGATGGCGGCTCCGCTACTGACAGCCCTGAGAACACAGCAGCATTGCAGGAAAGTGATCCTGACATACTCACCAAGAGCTATTTACAACAAGCTCTGGACACCCTGTCAAGCAAGCTAATTACATCGTGGCAACATACAGCGGATTCGCTGAGGAAGGACATGCAAGAATTAGGCAAGCACACCTCCCACATGGAGAACAAGATGGCAGAATTTGCTACAGCACACAATGACATAGCTTCCCATGTGGAACAACTGGAACAAAAATTACTGGCGGCGGAAAATAAAATAACTGACCTAGAGGATCGCGCACGCAGGAATAACCTGCGCATTAGAGGGATCCCAGAGGATGTTGTGCCGGAGAACCTGCAGGCATATGTCAGAGGCGTGTTTAACGCTTATGCTCCAGACATACCAACCGACATGTTACTCGTGGACCGAATACACCGTCTGCCTAGACCACGGTTCCTACCAGAAACTGCACCGCGGGATGTACTACTGCGAATGCATTATTATCATATCAAAGAGCTTATACTCAAGTCAAGCAGAAATAAAGCGACACCACTAGAAGGTTACCCAAATCTGCTGATTTTTGCAGACCTATCGGCGTCTACTCTCCGCAGAAGGAAAGAGTTCGCTCAGGTCGCCAACTCCATGAGGGCTCATGGCCTCAGATTCCGATGGGGGTTCCCTACCAAAATGTTAGTGACGAAAGATAACACCACCCAGGTTATCACATCACCTGAAGATGGACTCCGTAAACTACAATCCTGGGGATTTATGCACCAAAGACCGGAGCCTCACACCCCACCTGCCAGGCGCATCCCACTGGACTGGCACAAAGCATGAACTGCTGGACATACGCAAGTATAAATCTGATTATGCCTAGGCGCTTGCAATGGACTCGAGGGCTGGGGAAATATCCCAAGTTCTATATATACTAAACAAAAAAACAAAAAAAAAATGTTCAGGTTAACACGGATTGGTTATAACAAGTTAAATTACCTAGTTCCTTAAGGTTACTTAAGCTGGCAAGCAATACCTCCCCATCATTTGATGGAAGTATGGGGCTGAACCCCCCCCCCTAGCAACCTGTAGCTTACGGGAGAGGCGATGAGTTGCAGAGGACACACACATTCTCTCCGTGTGCCTCATCAAGAGCATAATGTGAGGGCAACACTGTTACACTGCTTAGTAAAAAAAAAAAAAAAAAAAATTGGTATAACACAAGCACTGCTTATAATCAATAGATACTCATTACCTCAACGAGCTCTCCCAGCTACTAGGGAGTAAGATGCTGTCCTACGGGATGTACTTACCAGCTGCTGATTATGACGAATACAAGTGTATATATATATGTATTTACTACTATACCTGACAAAAATCTCTCCTAGGCCCATTACCGTCTATCCCCTTTCTCAATATAATTGTACACACACCAAGAGCCTATACGACTATTACGTCTCCAAAGGTTAAGAGACAGCGGAAGACCCATAGCCATGACACGGAAACATGCTAGTTTCCACCCCCACGGTACTTACCACCAGTACCAAGACACATTTATGTATATACTTTGTTTTTGTTTCTACCCGGTTTACACCTCCCCAAGTTTTTGACCCTAGTCCCGCAAAGATAAGAAAGTCCAAGCCACTACCCATACCAGCTAAGATCACTATTACCCACACAGGGGCACTCTTGCCTGATATATGCACAACCAACAAACACACCCGACTAGAAGATACAATCAGAAGTAAATTAAAAACTCAGCGTCCAACCCATATAATAGTACACTATGAAAATATACTCACATAACGTGCGGGGACTGAACACCCCTCATAAACGCAGAGTTCTGTTAGAGGAAACTAAGAGGGCTAAAGTAGATATTATGTGCCTCCAGGAAACGCACTTTGTGCGGGGGAGAATACCAGAATTTGGGAAACAAGATTATCCGACGCAGTACCATACGACCTATTCTTCCAAAACAAGGGGAGTGTCCTTTTTGTTTCACAAATCGCTTACCTTTGAACTGCTAAATATTAAAACAGACGCACAAGGTCGGTACTTAATACTCCACTGTCAAATCAACAGAGCCATATATACCTTAGTAGGCATATACAGCCCTAACTCTAACCAGCGCAATTTTTTGCATAAAGTGCTGAGCAAATTACCCCATGAGCACAGAGCCGGCATCATAATATGTGGCGACATGAATCATATTCTCCAACCGACTATGGACACGACAGTGTCGTCTAACACTCCCAGACATAGATCCTTAATACCACAATGCAAAGCCATCACCAAGCTCTTACTTGACCACAATTTATATGACATATGGCGAACAAATCACCCGAGTGACAAAAGTTACACTTTCCACTCCAAGGTGCATGGAACCCACTCCAGAATAGACGTCATATTGGTGTCACGAGATTTGGTGCCCTCCACAACACAGAGTAGTATAGGGGACATAGTGTGGTCGGACCATGCTCCGGTAACCCTCATAACCCAGGATGCTTACAAGCACAGAGGGAAAACCCTGTGGCGATTAAATGACACCCTCCTATACAACGACACCTTTCAAAAGGAATTGGGGACTGAGATAGATAGATATTTTCAACTTAACAACCAACCTGACATATCACCTACTACATCTTGGCAGGCACATAAGGCAGTGATTAGAGGTCAGCTCATTAGCAGAGCGTCCTTCCTAAACAGGACCTCTCAACAGGCGCGCCTCACACTACTGACCAAACTGCGTGACCTAAAAGCAGCCCAGCTGCTACACCCCACCCCCGACCTCGACATTGAAATAGAACAAACTACAAATCAACTAAATGATCTCCTACTTCAAAAAACCGCGCACTCTACAAACACTCAAACTGAAGCATTACACCCAGGGAAACAGAGCGGGGAAAAAATTAGCATCTTTACTGAGGCATCACCAAGCCCACGCCAAAATACCATATTTACTCACTAGCACAGGAGAGAAAATATACAACCCCATAGACATTAATGAAGAAACAGCAGCCTACTACCAAAACCTGTACAACCTAACAAAAGATCCCCAAACACATCAGCCAACACAAGTGGAAATTGATAACTTCCTCTCGCAGATAAAATTGCCAAAATTAACACAACAACAGCAGGACTCCCTGATAGAACCGATCACACTGACAGAGTTACAGCAAACGATTCGCTCACTCCCTTCGGGGAAGTCACCAGGGCCCGATGGCTTCACGAACACTTACTACAAAGTCTTTTCGAACATCCTGAGCCCCTACCTAGTACACACACTGAACCATATTGTACACACAGGGAAGATGCCAGAGGAAATGCTATTAGCACACATAGCCACGCTACCAAAGCCAGGGAAACCACCCACGCAACCTAAAAATTTAAGACCTATTTCACTGTTAAACACAGATACGAAACTATTAGCCAAAATATACGCCAATCGTGTAGCGGCCATAATCCCCTTTATTACACACCCGGACCAAGTGGGATTTGTAAGGGGGCGACAGGGGACTGACGGGACTAGGAAGCTCCACAGCCTCCTCTATAATGGGACGCCTCTCGGAGAGCCCAGGGTCTTTATGTCCCTGGACGCCGAGAAGGCGTTCGACAGACTTCACTGGAACTTCCTGAGAACTGTCCTACAAAAATTTGCATTCCCACAACAATTTCTATCCCTACTATTAGCACTATACTCCAAGCCATCAGCACAGGTTGCGAACGGCGGGTTCGTATCCAAGCCGTTCCTTATCACAAATGGAACACGGCAAGGATGCCCGCTCTCCCCGGCCTTATACATTCTTGCGTTAGAGCCATTAGCCCAAGCAATACGGGATAACAACCAAATCAGAGGTGTGGAAATTAAAAATAAAACATACAAAATAACGATGTTTGCAGATGACGTAATGCTCTCCCTGTCTGACCCACTCACCTCTATCTCAGAACTCCAGAATCTGCTGCAACAGTACAGCAATTGCTCATATTACAAATTAAACAGTTCTAAAACGCAAGCAATGAGTCTGCATGCACCTGCATTGCTGTATACAGCCTTGCAACAGAAATACCATTATGAATGGAGACAAGACCACCTAACTTTCTTGGGTATAAAATTCACGAGACTAGAAAGGAACTTACATCGGGAAAATTACGGCAAACTCCTCACATCCATAAAACAGCAGCTAGCGAATTGGAAAGGGAAATACATATCATGGATAGGTAGAATAGCAGCAGTCAAAATGAAAATTCTCCCGAGACTGCAATACATGTTCCGTACGTTACAAATTAGGCTCTCAAAAACATTCCTTCACGACGCACAAAAATTGATTAACACCTTTGTCTGGTCCCATAAGAAACCCAGAATAGCGGCAAAAATCATGTACCTCACATATAAAGGAGGGGGAATGGGATTACCACACATAGCCACGTACTACAGATCAGCTATACTCGCACCGTTGGTCAACGAATTACACCAACATGACAAACCATCCCCTTGGGTAACGGTAGAGGCTGACCTAACTGGGGGGCAAAAAATAACGCACCTAGCCTGGACACCGCCACAACTTAGAAAAAAATATAAAGATATGTCACCACTCACAGCTACAACATTACGAGAATGGGACAGATTTAATAAGGAACAAGGATTTGATGGGGGGCTATCACCAGCCTTCCTCCTAGATTCATTTTATGGTCTGATACCTTCATTGAACATAACGTCCTGGAGCACTAGAGGTCTAATATACTTGCATCAGTTGTTTGATCAGGGAGAGATCATCCCCTTCAAACGACTGCAAAATAAACACCAATTACCCAATGCAGCAGCATTTGCGCACAGACAGATAAGCTCATGGCTGCAGACAAATAGAAAAGTACTGCCTGCAGCAAACAGGTGGAACACTTTCAATGCATTAGAAAGTCTCTGCACACAGACGAAGAGGCCACTCAAGCTAATCTCTATACTGTACAATCGCCATTATAGTGTACCAGACCCGCATACACTACAGTTTGTTAAAGCATGGGAAGTTGAACTAGGAAAACAGTTAACAAAAGAGCAGTGGTCATATATACTGTGTGAGAATAAAAAACTTACACTTAGCACAACCCATCTGGAACTAGCCAGGAAATTATTGTATCGCTGGTACTTAGTACCAACCCGACTGAAACATATGATACCTAAGAATACAGGACTGTGCTGGAGATGCAATAAAGCTCAAGGTTCCATGCTACACATTTGGTGGGAATGCCCAATCCTGACACCATTGTGGACGGAAACACAGACCCTAATTAAAAACATTACAGGCGTAGCTCTCGCACACACCCCCGAACATTACCTCCTACAGTATATACCACCAGGCCATACAAAATCATCCCGATACTTAATATATCACATTATCTCGGCGGTTCTGTTGCATATCAGCAAACACTGGCAAAAGCAGACGATCCCCAACATACAGAGCTGCATAACCCACATTGAAACCATAAAGAAGTATGAGATAATGTTCAGGTCCAACAATCCCCCCCAAAAATTTTGGAAGGAGGCGTGGGAAAAATGGGACACACACCAACAGACGCAGTGACAAGTTAAACACTCTAAACACCTTTGTGTGGTAGCTCACAAGACAATGCTTTAAGGAAAGAGCACTAAGAAAACCTTCCTAAACCTTCTTTAACATCACTCTTTGACCATATGGAAGCCTGCACACACTACCCTCACCTACTTAAGCTGGTTGCGTACACTGGTGCAATTTATTAAGGCCAACGAACAGGCCTAAAAGCTGGACTAAGCTAAGGGACCAATACCTGCCCCCCTCCCCTCCTCTACCCCTCTCTTTTTCCCCGCATTATACCCAGGTTTTGCCCCAAGTTTATATTCCCCTGTTCATTGGAATAGTAGCTAGGTGTCAGGGAAGATGCGGGTTATTTTTACAACTGAGCAATTACCGACACTGGCAAAGCGAAGAGAAAACTCCTACCATCACGACTAATGGTTAAGAAGGAGAACTACATAAATATGGGCACGACAGCAATGCCAGGATACTCTGTTTAATGACAATTTGTTTAACGATGTACCTATATTACCACTATCATATGTATGCTTCAAACTGGCTATCATCAAGACACAGATATGATAGCTCATTGTCAATACATGTTGCTCAAAAGTTGTACTCTCTATGTTGTACTCATGAATGTAACTTGCATACCCTGTATACCTGTAATACGACTGTGAAATCTTATAAAATGCAAATAAAAAAAATAAAAAATATTCCAGGTATCTACTCTTATATCACTGTTAGCCTTTACTGCAATCACTGGAAGGCTGTTACGGGTATCTCCTACCTTTCCTATATCATGGCATGTTAATATTCCAGGTATCTACTCTTATATCACTGTTAGCCTTTACTGCAATCACTGGAAGGCTATAACGGGTATCTCCTACCTTTCCTATATCATAGCCTGTTAATATTCCAGGTATCTACTCTTATATCACTGTTAGCCTTTACTGCAATCACTGGAAGGCTGTTACGGGTATCTCCTACCTTTCCTACATCATGACCTGTTAATATTCCAGGTATCTACTCTTATATCACTGTTAGCCTTTACTGCAATCACTGGAAGGCTGTTACGGGTATCTCCTACCTTTCCTATATCATGGCCTGTTAATATTCCAGGTATCTACTCTTATATCACTGTTAGCCTTTACTGCAATCACTGGAAGGCTGTTACGGGTATCTCCTACCTTTCCTATATCATGACCTGTTAATATTCCAGGTATCTATTCTTATATCACTGTTAGCCTTTACTGCAATTACTGGAAGGCTGTTACGGGTATCTCCTACCTTTCCTATATCATGGCATGTTAATATTCCAGGTATCTACTCTTATATCACGGTTAGCCTTTACTGCAATCACTGGAAGGCTATTATGGGTATCTCCTACCTTTCCTATATCATGGCCTGTTAATATTCCATGTATCTACTCTTATATCACTGTTAGCCTTTACTGCAATCACTGGAAGGTTATTCCAGTATTTGTTATACTTCTGTATCACTGTTAGCCTTTACTGCTTACACAGTTGGAATATGCACAGGAGTGGGTGGTGATAAAATGATGTCAACAGTCTACCACAGCCACCCTACAAAAGGGGCATTTTAGGCAAAGTGTCTAGATGCTCAATTAGGAATCTGGCTCTCACCATATTTATGACAGTCTGTCTGTCCCAGGCCAAACCACAATCTGAGCCTCTAATTCATAACTCATTGCACAAACACAGAAAGGATCCAGTGACGTTGTAAAACGTGCCAAGAAAGCTGTGTACATTTCCTTCTAGAAGCTACATTTGAATAGGTGAGGCACTGCACACTTGGTAGACCAGACTGTCCTCTGTTTTTAAATCTCCAACAATGAACTTAAATCTGTAGTGATCACTTTTGGTAAATTGTACAAATGTCTGTGTGAATGCATGGAGGTCTATGGAATACATGGAGGATACAGCTGTGGCACCAGCCAGTATTTACATCTCTGTGGTTAAATGTATCAGTTCTCAGTCTGCATTATGATCTCCGAGGAAGGCTTAAAGACCATGCACAATATTATTTTACAGCTGTGTAAATAAATATTTCAAACACATAGAACCAGGAGAGAAAACAGGATCTTGAATCGTGTGCCCATAGTTCAAATATTACCCTGCCTAGCACAGACTATTTTTATACATCTAGCTTTCACTCATTATTTACTCATTTACACCCCTTCTTAATAAAAGGGAACTGCCAATTTACACCATTGATTAAAACATGATGATACGTTTTAGATTTGTCAGATTACATCAGAATCTGGTTCAGAAAGGACATGCATTGCAAATAAAGAGGTGAAATAGAAACATATTTAAATTCCTCCTGTATTCTTTCTCTATGCTGACTCTCCACAAAGGACAGAGTTTATAAAAAATGCTTGACATGGAGCTAAAAAGGAGGCTCCCAGTTGGTGGATAAAGGGGTTTCACACTTTACAAATACATATATGTTAAATATTTGGGATAAGTAAAAGTAATATTAAAAATCCTGTGAAATGATCGTTCCCATTAAAATGACATGGACGGAGTTTGGTCTTTCTGGGGGCCCATATGAATGGCATGTTTGTCCAGATATGACAGCATTTGAAGAAACCATATTGCAAGTTCACTGGGTTTTCTGTAGGCTGGGGTCCTTATCTCTGTTCACAAATCAAACTTTAGACAGGTTGTTCACATCAGATCAGGTTTGCAAGATAAATTGTTTGATTTCAAAAGCCCTGAAGATTTACATTTATTTATTTTAAAGATTCTGCTGAGTATGACAGTTTCACACCAGACAAGTTGTTTTGAGCTCCTGATATGCAGAATGTATTTACATCCAGAATACGTGCATTTGTATGCAAGCAAGTTGACTCATGCCTTGTGTATAGGAAATATATGCCAAGACTGTAAAGAAAAGCTGTCCGATGTGCGCTATTTTGGTCTATACGGCAGCACCACTACTTAGATATGCATGTTCCTGGTGTGCCCCCAATTCCCCTTTTTCTCTTCTTTCTTTTTTTTTAAAAAAATTCTTTATTTTTGCCGTGCATGACATTTGCAACCTTTGCAAAAAAAAATTTGCAATACCATGGCAGTAAAATCAAAGTTTTACCGTAATATAACATAGGCATTGGTATTAAGACAACTACACAATTTTATGAAAAATAAAGTCGAGCTATTCCGGTAGACGTGTGTTCTCTGGGTTAGGCTGAAATGTCAGTGGTTCTCAACTACTTAGTATTGCCTCTGTGTCAACCATTGTGCTGCTTGCTTTACTGAGTGGCAATTGTAAGTAGGGTACGTCTTGTACCGATATATATAGAGCACGTCTATGGAAATCTTCCTGTTTTATATGTATGAACTATGCGTGGGTTATCTTCAGGTCAGTATAATGAGGTGATCACAGCAGTCTGGTGCCGTTCTGTATATCTTGACCTATCTGTGGGAACCTTAACCTATGGGGCGACACGGGAGGTGGAGATGGAGGAGAATGGAGATCTTCCAAAGTTTGGCAGCACACTAAACGAACTTTGGGAATATATAGTGGGGGCGGGGGGGGGGGGGTTGGAACACTCAGGTGGAGTAGTTACATGTGCTCCTCTGAGCTCGGGCCAGTGTGGCTTAATAGGGCACAGGTATGCGACTATTGGTATCTATTGGTATATGAAAAACAAGATTACAGTGTACCCTTTGGTACATGAAGAAAAAAAGTGTAAGGCTTAAGCTTCGGATTCAACGTAAGATAGGTAATAACTAAAGTTGCATTGCTTAGGATCTGGGTTCAATGTAAGAAAGATATGCGTTCATTGATAACCATTGGTGCATGAGAGATAAGATTACCGTGTAACCATTGGTGCATGAAAATAACATTACAAAGCTTAAAATCCAGATTAAACATACAACTGGTAATTTTCATTATAATTCCAATTTATTTTTTTTGCGGGCTAAAATGGCCCAAAGTTAAAAGGAAAAATGGAACGACAACTTAGGAGGTCAGGGTAGGTGTCAATAGTAAAGTATCAGTGTCCCGTCTGGTCCTGGGTGCAAAAGGGGTGATGTTGTTCACGTCCCAATCAATTGGTGATGGCAGCGCAGCTTGCGTTGGTGATAGGTCCAGAGCCCGTAGAAAGGCTGTACAGTCCGATGGACTAAAGGCTTTGTAATGTTTCCCATTTTTAATCACTGTGATGGCTCTGTGGTAAGACCATCGGTATGCCAGTCCTGCACTTTGAAGGGCTCTGGTGATCGGTTGCATGGATTTCCTCCAGAGTAGCGTGGCTCTGCAGAGATCCTGGAAGAAGGTAAGTGAGAATGATTCAAATTGCAATGGTGTTTTCCCCTTCAGGGCTCTGAAGATTCTTTGTTTATCAGCATAGGACTGACAGCATAATATAATATCTCGGGTTGAGGTGGTGGGTTCTTGGGGAGACTTGGCAATGCGGTACACTCCTTCGAAGGAGAATTGCTTGGCCGATCTTGTCGGTAATAGGAAGGCGATCAGGCCCCGGACAAAATGTGGAAGTTCCTCAGGGGGGAGCGTGTCAGCGACTCCCCTTATCTTGATGTTTTTACTCCTACTTCTTCCCTCTAATTGCTCCATTCTGCTTGACAAATGTGAGTAAGAGGAGCTGAGGTGTTGGACAGTGTCCCCAAGGGTATCCATGCCCTGTTTCAGTGTGGTTATGTCTGCCTCTGAGGTGTGTAGCCTGGTGGTTACCTGTTGTATCTCGGACTTTACTGCTGTGATATCAGTTGTGAATAGCTTCTGCATGTGAACAGATTATATATGTCCCCCTTTGTGGACGGAGCATCGCTGTCTTTTGACAACAGGGACCCTAGGTCTGGTATATTTTCCTCAAGTGGAGTGTGAGAGATTCACCTTGTATATTCTTGGTGAAGATGTTGAGGGTTGCTTCGAAGCTGCTGTCTCGAGTCAGCCGCCGGCCTCATGCGTGGTAGGCCCGAGATCCTTGGTGCCGGGTTTTAGTGGTTGCTGGGAACAGAAAGGGCATCTGCAGGTTTGGTGAGTCCTCCCAGGTGTAGATCAGGGTTTTTTATCCATGTGTGTCTAGTTTTTCCCACTAGGATTGATGGTCTAGTTGCTTAGCTGGCCGGAGCCGTTCTGAATAGTGTCCGTCTCAGTGTGCTGCCTGGCTCTGCCCCCCAATTCCCGTTTTTCTGTGTAGACCTGACTTCTATTGGGCTGAGCAGCCCACCCACCCACTACAGGTGCCGCATTTGATGTTTACCACAGAAAGGCATAAATTGAGGAGAGTCTCTGGGAGTAGTTTAAGCAATAAGTATCAGAGTTGGCATTCTAATCTCCCATGTTAAGGTTAGTGGACCCACCAATATTGGGGTACTGTGGGCTTAACACAATATGTCCATATGTTGTGACTGAATCCTCATATTTTTTTGCCAAGTTAGTATATTTTATACAGGGCTATTTTATAGCCCTGTAAAATGTAAAAGTGTATTTATTTATTTTTTGTGTGTGCGCTGTTCCCCAACTGAATTTTCTAGAGAAAAGTTGTCCATGCTCTAATTTTATCTCCATTCTGTTCTCTTTTTGAAATAGTGTTGCAGTAAAAGACAGCAAGAATTACATGTTAAAAACAGTCAGAACTCTGTTTTCTAAACTGCAGTCTCCTTAAATACTTAATGTATGGTTAAAGGAACACGACATGCCCCATAACCACTACATAACACTGTAGTGGTTATAGTGCCAGGAGTTTCTTGGGAAATTTGTAAAACCATTTCAGAATAGTCTGACAACCTACCAGTGTCCCGCCAGATCCCCTTCCTGGAATAGCCATGCTTAGAGAGATCCAGCTTCTCCTGCAGGTGATTTAATACATTACACTGGGACAGGGCATTTCTGGCAATGACTGGCCTGTTTCTTTAACTCCTCACTCTGGAGCCTATGAGTAGCGCCTGTTAGTATGAGATGCATAAGGCAGCTCAGGAGCCCTATTGACCGAAACTTAGAAATTGCTTTCATGAATTTGACAAAGGACACTATGACTCAACCTGCAATGTCATTACATTTTGTTATTCTACAAAAACACAGTGCAAATCGAAATACTGTGAAATTATTTCATTGTAACATTGTAAATGTGAATCTGATCTGTCACATTTGGGATATTTTCTAAAGTATTTCTGTATCCAGCTGATACAATATTAGAATTAGCTACAAATATTGTGATGATATACCATACATCTGTTATTATAATGTGCAGACCAGAATTTCAGATCCCATATTGCGTAGTGTGATGTGGCATCGTTAATCACAAGGTCTGCCAATCTTATTGGATCACCAGGATATTCTTGTCCCAGGTTGCCTGAGATCCACGGGGGTCGCACTCCATGACAGCTGTCATGTATGACAAGGCAGGGACAGTATTAATGACAACAGCTGTCAAATACGAATTCTGCCTGGTATTGTTCCTATCGAGCTCTTGTGTGTCTCTATGTTGCATTCCATGGTAGCTGAATCACCAGGGAACAATCTCTGCCATTCTAGTTGTCAATAAAAATATGTAAAGGAATGCTATAGTGTTAGGAATACAAAGCAAAAACGAAACAAACCACTTAGACGATTCCAGCTTTGGAGTCCTTCTGCACTGGCTCCATCTTCACCTCCACTTACATCATTGCAAGGGGGAATGGTGAGCTCTGTGTGAGCATTAGGCCTTCTCCACAGAAAAACATTGCATAAATGCTTTCTTATGGGGATTTAGAAGAGCTGCATAGCGTGGGGACGTCCATTCCATGGAGTTAAACTCTGTGAAACAGTAGGAAGGGTCTTAAAGGAACATTTAGTGTTAGGAATACACAAAAGGGTTATAAAGCTTTTCAGTCACTCACCTTACTCCAGTGTCCAGGGTAATACTCCTCCTCCGCTGACGTCCACCGAAAGCTGCACGCGCATTAGACCTTTATTATAGGATAGCACTGACTCAATGCTTTCATATGACAACTTTAAATCCAGGAATATAAAAGCATGAGGACGTCAAACTCCGTGAAAGGCCATGAAGTGGCTCTAGTGGTTGGTCACAGCCCCTAGAGGCTGTTTTAGTACTACCGTGTTTCTCCGAAAATAAGACCGGGTCTTATATTAATTTTAGTCACAAAAAACACACTAGGGCTTATTTTCAGGGTAGGGCTTATTTATTTACGGTACAGGTATGCACAGCTCTTTCTCTTTGCACTCATCTTGTCTGGGGATCAAAATACCGTACTGTCTAAATAATCCACCCCCCTTTAATTAATCCACCCCCCTCTAATTAATCCACCCCCCTCTAATTAATCCACCCCCTCTAATTAATCCACCACCCCTTTAATTAATCCACCCCCCTCTAATTAATCCACCCCCTCTAATTAATCACCCCCCTTTAATTAATCACCCCCTCTTTAATCCACCCCCCTTTAATTAATTCACCCCCCTTTAATTAATTCACCCCCCCCCCCTTTAATTAATTCAGTCCCAGACATAAAATATCTACTCACATTTCAAAGATTCCTTGCCCGAGTCCGACCACTGGGTGCCTCACCGCCCGGAAATGGATCCTTCCGCTGAAGATCCGTGAAGGCAGACTGACGGCGCTGCGAAAGGTCGTCATCACGTTGCGCGATGCCGCGGCCCGCAACGCTCCTCCCCTCCTCCTCATACGGTAGAAGAAGGAAGTCTCGCCGGGCCGCAAAGGTGCAATGCCTAGGTCTTATTTTCGGGGTAGGGCTTATATTGCAGCCCACCCCGATAATCCGGCTAGGGCTTAATTTCGGGGTAGGGTGTATTTTCGGGGAAACACGGTATAATGTAAACACTGCAGTTTCTCTAAACTACAATGTTTTACAATGCAGGGCTAAGGGGGACTGGGACACTAAAGTGATAAGGTTGGTCTGGGTGCCTATCATGTCACTTTAAGTAAAAAGATAAAAAAATAAAAAAATAAATTGTAGGAAATAAAAAAATATGACAAGGAATTTTCATATTTCACTATCTTTATGATGACTTTTCGAAAGCCCCTTTGATTTTACAAAAATATACCTCTACTTATACTTTTTTCCAAGTTTTTTGGTGCTTATTAGTGTATCTTTTTAAAGTATCACTCCAAGAAACATAACTGCTACAGCTCACTGTAGTGGTTATTGTGTCAGGAGTTGGCTCGTGCCAGGTATGACACATACCACACCCACTCCCAGGCAGATACGTGCAATAACAAGCTCAGTTTGGGCTAAGTCAGGAAAGAGGTAACCCTCCTCATTGTATGAGTCACGGACAAGCTTCTCTCCATGACATTGCATTTTATATCACTTTATTTATTTATCTATCGGAGAGGTATGGCAGATTAGTTGGCAGCCATATTTAAGGTAAAAGATAATGGCTTTCAATAACGCCATAATGATTTTCGATAAATCCCTTCTGTATAGAGGTTAAAATTCATAGTTCAAAGAAACTAAAATAATTAGGATAGGCTGTGTAGAACTTTCTATAAAACTGAACTATTGCTTTAGGGAGAAAAAAAAAAAACTATACAAAGCCAAATATTGTACCCAGATTAGGTTGCTTTATTCTTCAATTCATGAAATAATCCTGGTTATATCACTGATCCTACAAACTTTGTATAGAACAAATAACGGGGACAGCAGGGTGCTTGTACTGTGAGATTTACTACCTTGCACAATTACATTAAGTAGTCTTTCTAACATTAAATGCCCTCAGGGAAACCTGGATAAATATTAACCCTTGTCTAAAAGAAATAAAACACAGTGTGAAAATGAGGAGATCGCCAACCTGTGGCTCTTTAACAGTTTGCTGATAGAATTCTTCTCATTTCTGGTGTGGTTTATTTTTTTCAATCTTCAATAGTTTTCAGGTTTATACGTAATAAAAACAGTCCATAGTCAGATATATCATAATGTAAGATGCAATAGGTTTTAAGATCTATCAAAGTCCAATACGTTGTCTTAGTGGAGCACTCAAGTCACCCACATGTTTTAGGTGCATTGTGTAGGTTAGGCTACAGTTAGTTATGCTGGGTAGTTGACAAGACAGTCTTTATTTGGGACACTTGGCCCATTATCCTGGTTTATTCTTTCTGCATCCTGCTTCTGGGAGACACCAGAAAAAAAAAAAATGCAGCATAAGCTGGACTTTGAATGTGTTCATGGCCACGCTAGAACACCCTTTAATGAACGGTTACTTCTTTAATACTCTTAAAATGCATGGGTGCCTGGCTGGCAGGTTGGAAACTTGATTGTGTAACCAACACTGCTTTAACCCCTTAAGGACACAACTTCTGGAATAAAAGGGAATCGTGACGGAATATTTCCGTTATGTGTCCTTAAGGGGTTAATATCAGTAACATCCTTCACTCCAGTCACAGAATGTCACAAACACAAGCTGTGCGACTTGGCTTTCATCACTGATTCGCCCCTGTCTTGGCCATGCCCCTCCTTTGTACTGGACAACATTTGGGAGGTATGGGTTAAGCTGTGCAAAACAGGTTTTCAGCGATGTATGCACAGCTTATGCTTCCTTTTTCGGAAACCCAAACATTTCTTGCTTAATCTTCTAGTTATCTTATGGTTTGCAAAAAATTCTCTCTTTTTACTGGCTCTTTATAAACGAAGAATGTATGTTTGTAGCAATCTGCACTTTAAAGATTTGAAGTGGTCATGGTGCCTGGAGTCTGCAGGTGCATCATTTCACTATGAAACACTGCACGTACTGAGTTTAACACATTTGCTGCCAGAAATGTAACTCCACCTCTGAGAGAATTATTGGGGCAGTCAATAGCCAGCCCAGACAAGGGTTCCAGGCTTGTTGATGTCAATTCTGTGCATATTCCCATGTACAAAATGTATACTGTAGCGGGATCACCACTAAACCGTAAAATGTATTAAGTGTATTTGCCTATGTTCCCCACGGATTTGTGATTTCTTGTGTGTTTTACCTGCTCCCCGTTCAGAAGACCGCGTACGAACAAAGTCTGTTCGTCTCCCGAACGGGAACCCCCCCAATACCACATTTAGAATGTTTAGTTAGAACGTTCACATCTCGCTAATGATGTTTGAAAACCACAAACTGCAAGGGAAGCCTCGGCACATGCCGACCCTGGTGGCAGCCCGTTCATTAGATGAACGCCATCCAGGGGGAGCGTGCGTGGATTGCTTCACACCTCGTTCGGCTCCCGAATGAGAACCTCCCCAGTGCCCCTTGGAATGTTCACACCAATCAATTAGAACATTGGCAATTCGCAATGTAGTGTGAAACCGCAAGGGAAGTAATTAATTAGTGCTTCCCTGGGTGGCTGCCATTCCTATAGACAAGCAGCGGCCAGGGGGAGCCTTCGTTTCCTTAAAGGAGACTCTACCCTTGCCTAGGGACCCTGCGAACTGAGTCTGTTCATGCTGGTCACCGTTCTGGGGGTCCTTGAGATTGGTGGGGCACTCTTTGGGGACAATGGCGGTTTGGCGGGCTTTCTGTACCCGGGAACCCGGGAGATGGGGGTCTTTTCCAGGCTGGGACTCCCAGGTACAGAGAATCCATGGAAGAAAACACCCCTGCCACGGGAAGTGGGAAATCCTGTACTTGGGTGACAGGAACAGGGGACAAAGGGAATGAAGTTCCTGTCACACGCACAGACCCCTGGGAGGGGTTAGGAACCTGGGAGGGGATACATGGCAGGAACAAGGGACAGAGGGACTAGGGTTCTGGTTCCAATACCTCTCCCAGGGATGGGAAATTGTATGTTACCTGTGTTACACCCCCTTGCATGGGGAGAGTATTAAGCCAAGTGTGTCCAATAAAGCTGTTGTTCTACCCCTGGAACTGTGCATCGTCCAGTTACTGAGGGGGAATGGATCTGGTCCTTTATAAATAGTGGAGGTAACCAGCTGGGTTACCAAGGGTCCGCTACAACTGGTGACAGCAGTGGGATCCCACGTCCCTGCCAACAGACCCATGGAATATAGTAATCTAAGAAGACAAACCCTAGAGGACTTGCTGTAAACAAGAGGGAAACAGTCAGGCAACTGGAAAAAGGCTGATTGCCGACCTTATGGAGGACGATCAGCGGAGACAGGAGATGGCTAGCCCACAGCCAAAAAAATAAAAACTGGCCAGTTGCCTAATAAAAACCTTTGTAAAATACAGCAGTGACCTGGCACAGGTTTGTGCAATGGATGGGGGCTTAAAATTACATAATGGCTGGTGTACAGTCCATGGGTGGGGGCAGTATAAACAAAAAGTAATGGGGGGTTGCTATTGTCTCCCCTAACCCCACCCATACAAGAATAATGGGGTGGACATCCCACTGTCTCCCTCAATAATATTTCTACCCCACCCCTCCATTTGTTTTAATACCACCCCATCTAAAGGCCATTGGCAGGGGATAGGGGGGACTGTTCAGAAGCCCCCCTGTTAAATGTTTGAGCCCCTATCCACCACCAATTAGTGGAAGCTTGGGAACACCAATTAGTGGAAGCTTCATTAATTATATCCATAGCCTCCACCCACCGCTTAGAAATTATCTCCATTTTTTTTTAATAGAAACCCCACCCACTAGTCAAAGATGCAGGCAGGGTTTATAAGTGATTGGGCAGCAAAGGCCATTGGCTACTCACTGCTTAGTAAACATGCCCTCACCTGCATCATGGCAGGTGGGCACATAAGGGAGGTATTACAACTCCCTTATACTAATACAGGGGTCATACCGGCTGCCATAGGATTTACATTTGTTTTTAATTTTCGGTTCGTTTGAATCATTTGACATTGATGAAATTCATCCAAACTGAAAAGCCAAATGGATGATATTCGGTCCTCCTGAACTAAACGAAATTATGCGGACAGATTTATTTGGATGAACCAAATGTCTTTTGCCTTCCAAGTCTAGAGCAGATTGATTTGGTTTTGTTAATGTGACCATGAGGAAGAAAGGAACAAAATAATGTGTTTGTCATGGGAAAGACTTGTTTGTATAATAAGTAATTATTTATAGGAAATGGTATTTGGCTAGCGATGAAAGAAAAATAATAGTCCTAATGAAAGAAGAAAAAAAAACTTTAAATATTCCAGACCAAGTCATGATCTTCATCCTATGGCAGGATTTAATGTTAGAATCTCTAACGAGCGGTTGCACATTTTTTTGTCATTACAATGAAATATATATATATATTTATTTTCTTTCTGTTCTTTGCAATAGGTGAGTGTACATTCTATGGCTCTCATTTTTCAGTTATGCTACCGGGCAGTCTGCTAACCTGTGTGTTCTTTATTTCTGTTGAGTTATTGGGCTAAACACAAATCAAGATGAGTGTACATGGTGTTTCAATACACATGGGTGTAGAACTCAGAGGGTTGTCCTGATGTTGACTTGTGAGCTTAAATTGTGAGGTATTTTGATGGTACTAAAAACTGTATTTATTTCTGCATATAATAAAGGTGGGATGATGTGTAACTAACCTTTTTTGTGTCTTTTGTTTGTGCATTGTGGCTGAATTCTGTAGGTTATACATTTGTCCCGAAGGTTCTACACATGGAATATATAAACACAAATGCATTCTAAAAGTAAACCGTTTAAAGCACACCAAAAAGGGGGAACTAGCAGCCACAACGGTGCCTTTTTATCGTTTCCAGTTTTTGGGCTCCTATCC